TATATATATATATATATATATATATATATATATATATATATATATATATATATAATTTTTGTTTTTTATTTTTGGTTTTTTACATAAATTTTTTTTGTTAGATTTTTTATATTGTTGTTATGAGTATATATTTTATAAAGATTTCTATAAAGTTTTTATTAGGTTTTTGTAAGAAACTTCTTGTTAGGTACAATATAGAGATTTCTATAAAGTTTTTGTTAGGTTTTTGTAAGAAATATTTTGTTAGAAACATATCATACATAAAGTCGCATGCATACTTCGACACATATTGCATGCACAAACGTTAAAAGAAATTCGCGGTATATTCGATATCCGTGATAAATAGTACATTTGACGTGTGTATGTACATGAATATACTATGAAGTATACGCACCGACGTTAATGCCGTCCGTATATCTAGTACGACTAGCACACGATGACGCGTCACTCACACACTACTGCCTGTAGGTGAGGCACGAGCAGCACGGAGAAGCGCAGAGGGCTAGCGGTATACGATCGTCGGACGGCTTGGAGAAAGAATAGTGGTGGGAGTTGCGGCGATCTTCCATTCTCTATTGCAAACGTAAGAGCGAGAGAGATAACTTTATGAGACGTCGTGGCCAGAAATGCCGTGAAATACGTGTGATACACTAAGAAAACGCTCGTCTCACACTATATGTCTCGTCTATACGTGAGCAATACGCGGTGTCCCGACGACTGTTTTGCTTGCTTGAACATCCATGGATTCTTTTTTTTTGTTAGCAAGGAAATTATTGTATCGTGTATCTCACTTTAGTTAATCTTCTTTTACATTACAGTAATTTCCTTGCTAACAAAAAAAAATACATGGACGTTCAAGCGAGCGAAACAATCGTTGGGACACCGCGTATTGCTCGTATAGACGAGACATATAGTGTGAGACGAGTGTTTTCTTAGTGTGCGTCACACGTATTTTAGGACGGCATTTCTGGTCATGACGTCTCATAATGCTATCTTTCTTGCTCTTACGTTTGCAATAGATGAAAGATCTTCGCGACTCCCATCACTATTCCCTCTCCAAGCCGTCCGACGATCGTATACCGCTAGCCCCCTCCGCTTCTCTGTGCTGTTCGTGCCTCACCTACAGGCAGCAGTGTGTGAGTGACGCGTCATCGTATGCGAGTCACATGGATGTAAAAACGGCATTAACGCCGGTGCGTGTACATCTTATGTATTATATTGATATAATATTAAGTGTACAAGTTTGCTTTCGTTGTTTTCATATAGATGGCTTTAGCAGTAAATGGTGGTCGAAATAAATAGATCATAGACGTCATACAATAAACTTGGGCATCTGTCAACATAACCCCATAGAAACATTAGTCGATTTGTGTTTGCATCATAAAGTTATTCTCGATTGAAAATGTCAGTTTACGAGCTAAATTCTCGTCATTTGCGGGAGGTTTTAATTTTCTGATTCAATATAAAGAAATCTGCGGCTGAGGCTTATCGAATGCTCTCAAATACTTATGGTGGGGCCGCTATTAGTGAAAGAACGTGTCGTGAGTGGTTTCAACCCTTCAAGAACAGTGATTTTGACGTTGAAAACCGGCATAGCACCGGCATAGGTGGAAGAGAGAAGGTTTTCGAAGATGCATAATTGGAGGCATTACTTGATCAAGACTCGGGTCAAAATCATGAAAAATTGGCACGATCATTGGGAGTGACTCAACAAGCCATTTCAAAACGCCTCGAAGCCATGGGAATGATGCAGAAGCAAGGAAATTGGGTGCCGTACGAATTGAAGCCGAGAG